CAAATGCACGCACCCTATAGCAAAAACCTCTCAAAAAAAAAAAAAATTGGTAGAGGGCATGTGCACACATTGGAGAGAAGGCAAGTGAGAAATCGCCCTCCCCCTGGGGGGTGGCCATGCCACAGTCGTTCTCCTTTCTCCTCTCAGAATTTGAAAGAGGCACACACATGCCCAGCATGACTTTCAAGCTGCCAGCTCCAGGACTCGAACCATGCAGTTAGCCATGTGGTATCCAGTTGTCTTAATCACCACACCACTGATTGGCCCAATTACTGTGTGCTTTCTATGTACCAAGCCCTGTCCTAGGCCCTCTCTATACATTGACTTTTTTCTTTTTTAAAGAATTATTTATAGGGAACCAGCAGTTAGCGTAATGGCTATGTCGCTGGACTCCCACGTAGTCGACCGCGGTTCGTGTCTCGGACCCGGTGGCTTATTTTTTCTTTTTTAAAGAATTATTTATTTTAGTTATTATTATTATTATTATTATTTTTGGAGAGATTTTTGCTATAGGGCGTGTGCGCTCACCAGACAGACAGAGACATAGAGACAGAAAGCGAGAAATCACCCCCCAGGGGGGATGGTCACACCGCAATCCCTTCTCCTCCATTCTCCTCTCGGGATCTTGGGCACGCACGCACACGCGCCCGGCGTGAGTTTTAAGCCACCGGGTCCAGGACGCGAACCACGATCGACTACGTGGGAGTCCAGCGACATAGCCATTACGCTAACTGCTGGTTCCCTTATTATTATTATTTTGATTTGACCAGAGAGAAAGAGAGAGTGAGAAAGCAAGCCGCCAGGTACAATAGTCAAACTACTGTTGACCATGAGGGAGTCCAGACCTCCACCCCTTGCCACCTGCCGGCCCCATGATCCCATTCGGTAGAGTTCATCGCAGTTTTACTGATGGGAAACCTGTGGCTCTAAGGTGTCCCCAGCCACCTACATAATGTGGTGAATACCTATGAATATGGCGTCTTGTTCCCAGCCCTGTCTAGTCTTCTCCAGGCAAAGTTCCTCTAGGTTGTTGGCCATCTAGAAAGAATCAGAAGGTCCCCTGTGGCCACATCACCAGCCAGGACATTCCTTTCTCAAACCCAGAGCCTCTCCTAAGCATCCAGGGACACTGGACGTGTGTCTGAGGAGCCGGCAGCCCGGGGCTTCTCGCCACTTCCTACCAGCCCCCGGCCTGCTCCCAGACCCCCACTGACCTGACTCCTTCCCTTATAGGTCCAGTCTCTTCGTGCCCAGCTGGAAATGTGGCGTCTCCGAGGGGAAGCTCCTCAGAGTGTGCCCAGATCACAGGAGGATGGCCACATCCCCCCAGGCTACATCTCACAGGTAAGGCCAAGGAGCTGTTTTGTGGCGGGTAGAGACATCTTTCGGGTTGCCATGTGTTTTGCAGACAGTTGATATTTTGGGAGCCTTTCCTGCATACTAGAAGCCATACAAGGCCTTTGACGTGCATCATCTTGTTTAATCTCCCCGCAGCTGGTGGGCATGATCACTGTGCCCATTTTACAGACCAGGCCACTGAGCCCTGAGAGGTTATGTGACCAGCCTGCAGGTGTCAGAGGTGGGATTTGAGCATGGGACTGGCTGACTGCAGAGCCTGTGTGTGAATCTCTGTGTGACGTTGCACTTGGACCCTGCTCTGCCCTCACCCTGGGGAGGCGGGGAGCCAGCGGCCCTAGGAGTTACTCCTGGATACAAGGACATCCTCCCCAGGCCTGCCTGGCCAAGGCCCTGCACGAGGAGGTCTGTGTGATGTGGGAGCCTCTGTGTAGGACAGTGGGTCTCATCCAGGGGGTGATTTGTCCCCTGGGGACTTCTTCTACATCTGGAAACACTTCTGGTGTCGCAGTTGGGATATCTAGTTCTCCTGCGAGTGTGTGTACATGTGTGTGTGTGTGTGTGTTTGCGAGTGTGTGTACGTGTGTGTGTGTGTGTGTGTGTGTGTGTGTACACTTATTTGCATTTACTATAAATTTTACCGATAGGATGTTTACTACATAATTTACAAATAAAAAATAAATAACTCTTTTACTGTGAATTCCATCTACTAAGTGGACGTTCCCAGAATGCCTTCAGTGATTTCTCTGTACTCCTGTATCTATAACTAACAACTGTGTGCTGTTCTAACTTGTATGTTGGTTGGCGTTTTTGTTTATGCTTGTGAGTAAGACAAGAAGATGTGTCAAAACTTTGCTTGGTCAGTGCTGTGAACAGTCTCTCTGCTGAATCAGAGAATAGTTTTTCATTGTGAATGTTTGGCTACGATGGTTTCTGCCGTTCTCCATTCTGCTTACAATGTAATCGTTAGAGATCTGACACGGAGGCTGCACCATCAGCCTGTTCTCATCACATGTTTAAGTCTAGACAATCAACAAAACAATAAACCAAGGCCTGACTTGTGTTGTTTGCCAATGTCCGTGGTGTAAATACTCCCACGTGGCTGACGCGAAGCCACGAGAACTCGGAGTTGGGAGGGAGTGTGCTCACCGTTGTATGTCTTTCCACCATGTATGTGGTAGACGAGAATAGTGTCAGGAGCTCCTGTAATAGTTCAGGGCAGTGAGATGAATGGGAAATGATACAGTCTGCAGATCTACGCCCTTCATCTCTAATGCAGTTCATTGTAAGAATAAAGATTGAATTTTTACTAATGGCCATGCCTAACAGCCACAAAACTTTTGAAAATCAGCTGTCTCTATTCTACACGCTGTTGCCTAAAGGAGAAAAGAATGCTGGGATCCCAGGTCCCTGGGCAGGAGGAAGCTTCTAGAAGTTTTGGTTTGGGAGGTCACTGTAGGGGGTTCTCTGGGAGACTCCTAAGGGGCAGGCACTCTGCTGAGCAGTGATGTATGTGCCCCTCAGGAGTCTCGTGGGGACATTAGTTGTGGCATGAGTGGACGGCCCCTGGGTGCCTATCATAGAGGCCCCGATACCAACCTGTGGAGTTAGTCTCCCACAGATCAGGCTTGGAGTCTTACAGTGACATGGAGAAAGTGATATTAAAATGAAGTGCAGGGGGACCAGCAGTTAGCGCAATAGCTATATCGCTGGACTCCCATGTAGTTGACCGCAGTTCGAGTCCCAGACCCGGAGGCTTAAACTCATGCTGGGCATGTGTGCATGCGTGCCCAAGATCCCAAGGAGGAGAATGGAGGAGAAGGGATTGCAATGTGGCCATCCCTCTGGGGGGTGATTTCTCGCTTTCTCTCTCTCTTTGGCTTTGTGGTGAGTGCACACACCCTATAGCAAAAACCTCTCCAAAAAAAAAAGAAAAAAAGGGAGTGCAGCAGGCTGGCCGATGGTGTGGTGGTTAAGGCCGGGGAATCCCACATGGCTGGCTGCGTGGTTCGTGGTTCAAGTCCTGGACCACCCAGCAGCTTGAGAACTTACGAAGCACACGTGTATGCACATGCATGCCCAAAATCCTGAAAGGAGAGACAGAAGAGGAGAGACTGCAGCATGGCCGTCCCTGTGGGGGTGCTTTCTCACTTTCCATTTCTCTCTCTCCTTTTTTCTTTTTTTTTCTTTTTCTTTTCCTTTCTTTCTTTCTTTCGGAGAAGTTTTTTTACTATGGGGTGCATGCTTGCCAGCGAGACAGAAAGCAAGAAATCATCCCCCCAGGGGGATGGCCATGCCACAATCCCTTCTCCTCCTTTCTCCTCTTGGGATCTTGGGCACACACACACACACGTGCCAGCGTGAGTTTAAGTCACTGGATCTGGGACTCGAAACACGGTCGATGACATGGGAGTCCAGTAACATAGCCATTATGCCAAGTGCTGGTCCCTCTTCTCTGTCCTTCTCCACTGAGCACATGTGCTCTCTAGGGGGGGGAAACAAAAACAAAAATAAAAAAACAGAAGAGGAAATGGAGGGGGCTTAGGAGAGGGAAAGCCCGGATTTAAGGAGCTAGGACAATGACTGAGGAGAGGGAGGTTGTCTGGAGAGAGGAGAATTTACGACTTGGTGTCTCAACCAGGGGCCATCAAGGCTGAGTGGTTGATGCAAAGTCCATCTGAAGGGAGATCAGAGCAGAGGGAGTGGGGCCGGATGTAGAAGGCTGGTCTGGGGGTCACCTGGGCTTGGAGGGGACCTGGGGAGGTACCTCCTTATCAAAGCCTCCCTGAGGCAGAGAAGGGCTGGGCAGGTCCTCTCCAGGCCAGGAGTACCTACTCCACAGCCAGGCAGCCACCCCGGGGGCTCTGACTAAGCTCTTGGAAGCTCTAAGGGCTTCCTTTCTGGGTGAGTTTGAAAACATTGCTCATCTTGCAGATGGGGAGGCTGAGGCATTGAGATGTAGGCACCCCTGTGTCTGGGCCCAGGCTTCCTGGTCCCCGGCATCCTATTGGGCAACCCACCTTGTGCTCCAGAGGCTGTCCGCATTTCCTCCTGTCAGGGTGGGGTGGGGTGGGAAGGGGAGCAGGTGGGATTGGGAGTGTGAGGTAGAAAGGGATTGGTCAGAACTAGAGCTGAAGACAGGCGTGGAGGAGTGGCTCCAGAAGCTGAGGGCGTCGAAGAAGAGGAGCCGGGTCGTCTGTGTCCCCGTCAGGCACAGGAGGAGGGAGCTGTGGACCTGGGAGTGGTGATGGCTGGGAGAGGTTTCCCAGCCTGGGTTGGGGGGCTTGCCACTGCAAGACAGCTGTTGGGGGGCCTGAGACTTCACCCACTGGGACTTCAGAGCCTCCTCTGGCAAAGGGGACCCTTCTAGCCTATCGCAGTGGGGCCACCGTCATTTCTTTGTCTGCTTTGCTGTCGGTGTCAGAGCCGGCAGCCAGTATCAGGACACCCTGGGTCTCTTGGGGAGGCAGGTTGGGTAGCAGCACCCGGCCTCCAGGAGCTCCCTGCATGGCCTGGTTTCCACCACCTGACCTCAGCCTCAGACCCAACTACCTGCTGAATCCTACTGCTTGGACCGGCTCACCACAAGTGGGGACTGGCCTACCCTATGCTTTCCCTGTGTCCAGGGGCCCTGGTACTGCCCAGGGGCCTTTGGGCCCTTGTGTGTTGGTCTGATGAGGCCTGTTTCACAGATGCTAAGACTGAAGCTCAGAGAGTCAAGGGGCTTGTTCAGATTCACCTATGGTGCAGCCAGGATTGGGACCCAGTGTATGGGCTTCCAAAGCCATGTCCTGTTATCCAGATGGGGGAGGGGGCACATACAAGGTAGAGGACAGGCACAAAGGCCTGGAAGGACAGGCCTTTGCCTGGGTAGGGGACAGCCTGCCCACTATCCAGGACCTGCAGACCCAGGAGATCCAGTCCTTCTCCTTCCCAAAACTGGCCTGCTGCAGCCCCGGCTACTGGAGAGGTGGGAGGTGTCCTGTGTGAGCAATGCATTCTCTTACCTGGCCGTCTCTGCTGTTAATGCATTCTCTTACCTGGCCGTCTCTGCTGTTTCTCCTCTGCCTCTCCTTTTTAAAATGATCTAGCATTTCCAAAATTAATTCAAACAAATCAGAAGGTTAGAAATGAACACACACCACTCCGTCCCCTGCATGCTCATGCCCCAGGGTCACCTGTCTGCATTGGTTTCCTGTGCTGGTGGGACAGATGGCCACCCCCAACAGCCTAGTGAACACAGAGGTATTACAGTTCCATCTCAGAGGCCGGAGGCTGGCCCGGGCCTACACGAGTGGAACTGGAGCATCGGCAGGACCGCAGTCCTTCCTGTAGGCTCTGGGTGGCTCTGTTCCTCCTCCAGCTTCTGGCGGACCTACAGGCCTGGCTCATGACCCCTTCTCCATCATCAAAGCCTTCGGCAGGGGATTTCAAGTCCCTGTTGCTTCACATCATCTGATTGGTCTCTCCTGGTCACATCTCCCTCCAACTCCTCTTCTGCCTCCGTTGTCTATTATTATTATTATTTTTTTTTAAAGAGATTTTTGATATAAGGCACATGTGCTCACTGAAGAGACAGATAGAAAGCGAAAAATCACCCCCCAGGGAGGAGACCACACCACAATCCATTCTGGCTTGAAAAACATTCATATATGCGTGCACGCTCAAAATCCCAACAGAGGTCGGGAACCACTGTCAGCCATGGGGGATCTAGTTCCCCTAACCACTGGGCAAACCCTTCATTTTAGTTTTTATTTTAAGGTTATTCATTTCTCCTGAGATAGAGAGAGAGATCGCATCTCTACCAGGGTCTTCATGCCGTGATCCACCCCCCGCCTCAGCTGGCCCATGCCGTGAGCACACGCCTTCACACTTGGCATTCTCAGGGATGTCTGGGATGCAAACCCAGGGCCTTTCTCATGTAGGTCGAGTTGAGTTACCGTGGCACCACCTCCGTCTCCTTTAAAGATCAACTGGTTAGCCTTGCTGATTCCCTCTGTAGCTTCAATTCCCCTTTGTCACAGGGTCACAGGGTCCAAGAAGAAGGACGTGGATGTGTCCGGGGTTGTTACTCTGCCTCCCACTGCATCCTCTCCTGCCTTTCTCCACACTGTTACGTACGTGCACTGGGATCTACAGCTGTGTGCCGTTTTCCCAGTGGGGTCACATATGTGATATGTACATATTGGCAGAAAGTGGCTTTGAGCTCACCTGCAGGACGCTTGTCCCTGGCAGTCCAGGTGACAGCTCTGTCTCCACAGCTGCCGGGCATCCTTTGTAAGGCTCGGTCTCATCATTTATTTAAGGATTTCCATTAGACATTTAGGTCGCTGCAGTTTTCATCTGTTACCAACCTTGCCACGGGGAAGGCTCATGTCTGGGAGTCTGCGGTACACGTGTGGCTTTCTGTGATATCATTCCTTGGAATGGAGCTGCTGGGTCAACGGAAGGGAGTCATTAAAAAATGCACTGATGCTGCCAAACTGCCCCCTCCATGCTCCATCACAGTTGGCTGTCCCAGCAGTGGCCATTAGCCATCTTTTCAATACTTGCCCGCCTTGTCTGCAAGGCCTCACTTTGTGTTAAGTTGTTGGCTTCAGCTCATTCACTGATACCTGCCACCCATCAGCTCCTGGGCTGGAACCTGGGGGCCCTGAGCTGGGTCAGATATGCTGGCAGAAGCAGAACCTTTCGAGGCAGGGAGAGGCTGCCCAGAGGCAGAGCTAGGAGAGACCTTTAAACTGGGCTGCTTGCCAGGTGAATTACCCAGAAAGAAAAGGTTCCACAAAAATGTTCCAGGCAGTGGGGATAGCATGAGCTAAAGCAAAGAGGTGGGAATATGCCAGGAGTGACATTTTATAACTGCGAGGATGTTGGGCAGGAATGGGCTGGGGATGCAGCCACGACAGTCAGCCACAAGAGCAGGGACTTGACCCTGCAGGATGGGGAGCCCCAGGAGGGTCCGAAGCAGGAGCGTGAGGTTTTATAGATGATGAGGGGAGATGGGGTGGGTAGGGACAGGCAGGTGTGTGGGGCCCAGGTGGAGGTGGTGAGCCTGGGCCAGGGCTGACCAGTCTGAGGCTTCTTGGGAAAGTGGGGCAATGCCATGACCTCCTGGTCTCTGGCCCACAGGAGGCATGTGAGCGCAGCCTAGCGGAGATGGAGTCCTCACACCAGCAGGTGATGGAAGAGCTGCAGCGGCACCACGAGCGGGAGCTGCAGCGACTGCAGCAGGAGAAGGAGTGGCTCCCGGGCCGGGGGGAGGCAGCCCCCCGCCCCGGG